TGAGCCCTGCAGTTCAGGCCAGTTCCACGTTACCTCTCCCCACCACAGTCTTCCTCGTCTGTCCACAGTCACCCCTCCCAGCGCCCAGCCTGTGTCTCCCCCCACGGTCGTGTCCAGCAGTCTGGCCGCAGACCTGGAGGGCCTGACCCTCACGGACTCCCCGCTGATGCCCTCGGTGAGTGGGATGAGGCCCACGGTTCTGTGCTGCACCCTGGGGTGTGGATCTGTGTGGGGGGGGTGAAGGAAGGGAAAGTGCTGGCTGTGACCCTCGGTGGGGACAGGGCTGGGCAGGCTGCTGCTTGCTCACTCCCATCCCCCTCTCCCTCCCGTCCAGCTGCTGAGCCCGGTGTCCAGCGTGGGGCGGCAGGAGCTGCTGCACCGGGTGGCGGGCGAGGGCCTGGCTGTGGACTACACCTTCAGCCGCCAGCCCTTCTCCGGGGACCCCCACATGGTGTCTCTGCTCATCCACTTCTCCAACAGCTCCGACACCCCCATCAAGGGCCTGCATGTGGGCACCCCCAAACTGCCTGCGGGCATCAGCATCCAGGAGTTCCCTGAAATCGGTGTGGCTCCCGGGCAGTCAGTCTCCCTACAGCTGCCGATGCCCTGTCTCTGCCGGGCGAGGGGCCAGGCCCTGGGGGCACAGAAAGGGCATCTAGCATGATCCTCGCCCAGTGGGCAAGACAGGCTAGGAAGTGAGGGGGTCCTGATCAGGGCAGGGGGTGCTTGAGGCTCGGTTACTTCAAGACTGACTTCAGCCTAGCTGGTTTGGCTCAGTGGATAGAGCATTGGCCTGAGGACCGAAGGGTCCCGGGTTCGAATCCGTTCGAGGGCACGTACCTTGGTTGCAGGCTCCTCCCCGGCCCGGGTCCTGTTCCGGGTGCATGCAGGAGGCAACCAATTGATGCGTTTTTCTGTTTTTCCCTTTTTCTTCTACTCTCCTTAAAAATCAATGGTAAAATATCCTCAGGTGAGGATTAACAAAACAAACAGAAAGACTGACTTCCGTGGATGAGAGTGTGTGTGGGGGGAGGGTGAGGGGTGTTTAGATTTCAGGAGAAAACCAGGAACGGTCTCCCGGGGCGGGAAGCTGGGAGTGGTCGGCTCTGGCAGAGGAGGGAGAATGGGTCTGGGACGCAGACTCCCTCTCCCCCACCCACCTCACCCCCTGCAGAGTCCCTGGCACCCGGAGAGTCTGCCACTGCTGTCATGGGCATTAATTTCTGTGACTCCACCCAGGCGGCCAACTTCCAGCTGTGGTGAGTGTCTGCCTTGTGGTGGGGGGCGAGGGTGGGCCAGGGAGAGGTGGGTCACAGTGGAGAGGAGCTGGAGGTGGTGGCAGCCGTGGGTACGTCATGAGGTGGAGGGTCTGGAAGCCAGCCCATGCCCTTGGGTCTCACCTCCCTCTCCTGCTGCCCCCAAGACCTGTCCCCAAAGTGGGAGGCGAGGGGAGAGATGGGCCTCACTGCCTCCTCCTCTGTCTTCTCCCCCCACCCCAGCACCCAAGTGCGACAGTTCTACGTCTCCATTCAGCCGCCGGTTGGGGAGCTGATGGCCCCGGTGTTCATGAGTGAGAATGAGTTTAAGAAGGAACAGGGTGAGTGCGCCCAGGGCGGACAGGGGTGGGACTCAGCACCATCCTCTAGGCCAGGCACGGCGAACCTTTTGAGCTCGGCGTGTCAGCATTTTGAAAAACCCTAACTTAACTCCGGTGCTGTGTCACATATAGAAATTTTTTGATATTTGCAACCATAGTAAAACAAAGACTTACATTTTTGATATTTATTTTATATATTTAAATGCCATTTAACAAAGAAAAATCAACCAAAAAAATGAGTTTGCGTGTCACCTCTGACACGCGTGTCTTAGGTTCGTCATCACTGAGTCTAGGGCCCTCAGCTCCAGCTCACAGCCCTGTGGGGGATCCTCAGCTCATCAGACAGGGGGGCCGCGTTGCGGGGGCTCTGCAGCGGCCCCGCAGGGGCCAGGACACTTCAGCGAGGCTGTGGAGAGAGTGGGCCCTCGGCCACTAGGCCAGCAAGCACACCAGCTGGGGGAACATCGCGGGTGCGTGTGGGTGAAGGTTTCCAGGAAGGGAAGAGAGGACACGGGAGTCCCCAGCACAGGGGAGTGGTGAGAACGAAGCTGAAGGCATGTACAGTCTTGTTTCCCAAAGCCTCAAACGTGGTGCTGAAGGGTTTCAGCCCTAGAATTTCAGCGCTGGACGGGGCTGGTGGGTCCAGCTCCATCGCTAGAGAGAGGCGGGCCTTGGATTCATCTTCCTGGTGGCGGAGGCATCAGGGAAGGTGTCTGAGGGTGGGCGGGCCAGGTTCAGACCTCTGCTTCCCACAGAGGAAGTTGGCAGCGTTCTGGTGCCAGCGTTCTGCTGGGACTGAGGCTGGGAGGAGCTGCAGCAGCGGGAGGGGGCAGGGCAGCCCCCGTGGGAGAAGACCGGGGCTTCGTAGGCCCTGGTTTAGGTTCCGAACCTGCACTCACTTGGTCTGTGACTTTGGGCCACATTCTGACCATTTATGAGGCTGTTGCAACAAATCTGCCCAGAGACGGTGAGGACCAGGATTAGAGCCCTGACAAAGGGAGCGAGGGGCTGAGGCGGGTGGCCCCGGGAAGAGGGAGGCATAGAAGCTGTTCTAGAATTTTGGGCTTGGATGACAAGGAGAATGGCAGTGCCCTTCCCCTAGACCAGGGGGTGGCATGGTGTTGCTTTTTCTGCAACGCGCCATAAAGCCAGTATTTAGGCTTTGTGGGCCCTGTGGGGAGCGGGATTTGGCCTGCAGGCTGTGATTTGCCAAACCCCTGATCTGGTAGAAAGAATGGGTTTGGGTGAGGGGTTAGCTCTGGAGAAGCTGGTTTTGCAATGCGTTTGGGAAACTCAGGGGGCGGTGTTGAGTATGCAGCTGGAAATGTGGGTCTGTGCTCAGGAAGCACGGAAGTGGGAACTGAAGCTGTGAATGTGAGTGAGATGGCCCTGGGGAGATGCTTCAAAGACCTTCAGAGCCAGCAGATAGGAACCTTGGGGAGAGCAGGTCATTGAGCAAGGGGGCGGGGCCTGTCAAAGGGGCAGGGCCAAAGGGGGCAGGGCCAGTCGCCCTGGGTTGAAGGAGACCCACCGAGGACAGGGAGTCCTCTCTGGAGGACGTGGGCTCTGAATGGGAGACACAGCCATGGCATGATGAGCAATCTGGCTTCTGGAGGGGACTTCCTAGGAGCAGGGAGACTTGGACACGGAGAGGCTTAAGGTGCAGGGGCAAGAAGAGATCACTGGTCGGGCATGGAGGGGATGGAGCATCTCAGAGGGAGGAGAGGGGCTGCAGAAAAGGTGGGCGGGAGGGCGGACACGGAGCTCCCAGGGCTGCCTGAGAGTGTGTGTGTCAGCCCAGTTGAGTGAGGCGTTCCCGGGTGCTGTGAGCGCCTGGCCAGGTCTGGAGCTGCTGCCCCCGGTGAGGTTAGGGTCTGGGCTCTGGCCTGCCTGGTGAGGACCAGGCCTTGGCCAGGAGGGCAGCAGCCAGCAGTGTTCTCTGGGAGGACTCAGCTGCAGGAGCCAGGAGGGATTTGAACTTGGTTGGGTGTGGTGTCTAGGGTGCAGGAAAGCTCTAAGTGGCCACCGAGTCTTCGGTCAGTAACACGGATGGAGCCCTGGATGGGCTGGGGAGACCCCTCAGGCTTCCTGTGAGGGAGAGTCAGGCCTGCCCAGGCTGGGAACTTGGTGAGGAAGCTCCGTGGGCAGACCCAGGTGAACCCATCACAGCCTCTGCCCTCATCGTGACCTCTGCCCCCAGGTAAGCTGACGGGCATGAACGAGATCACAGAGAAGCTCACGCTGCCGGACAGCTGTCGGAGTGACCACACTGTGGTGCAGAAGGTGACCGCCACGGCCAACCTGGGCCGTGTCCCTTGTGGGACGTCTGACGAGTACAGGTACTGGGCCCCTCCCTGAGGAGGAGATGGGCTGTTGGGCCTGGTCTGAAGGAGGGCCGCCTACCGCAGGGGCTGAGCCCCTCCCTCTGTCCCCCTCAGGTTTGCAGGGAGGACGCTGACCAGCGGGAGCCTGGTCCTGCTGACCCTGGACGCGCGGCCCCCCGGCCCCGCCCAGCTGACAGTCAACAGCGAGAAGATGGTGATCGGCACCATGCTGGTGAAGGATGTGGTGCAAGCTCTGACCCAGTGACCCCCAAGTGCTCCGACTTCTCTGCCACTGGTTTCTCCCTCATGACACCTGGGCTGTTAGCACCCTTCTCTCCCTCTGCCCCTCTCTCTTTCAGATAAGATTCCTCACGTCAGACAGCATGCAGAGCGCCCCACCACCACACACTTTCTGTAGTTATTTATGGAGCAAATTCTCAATAAAGGTCTTCTCCCTAGAGGCCGGCTCACCTCTCCCTTCTTCCGGGTTCTAAGGGGCTGGGGGAGAGCGGCTAAAGGTTCCTTTCATTAGTGGTTCTCAACCTTCCTGATGCCGCGACCCTTTCATACAGTTCCTCATGTGGTGGTGACCCCCATCCATAAAATTATTTTCGTTGCTACTTCATAACTGTCATTTTGCTACTGTTATGAATCGTCATGTAAATATCTGATACACAGAATGTATTTTCAGGGGTCGCGACCCATAGGTTGAGAACCGCTGCTTTAGACCCTGGTGAATGACCACTAGGGAGCTGGACTGGCTCAGGGGTGACTCTGGTTGGAGCCTCGTGAATGACCATTACGGAGACTGGACTGGCTCAGGGGTGACTCTGGTTGGAGCCCCCGAGAGGACAGTCTCCGGGTCCCCGGGTGTCTCTGTGGAAGAGACAGCTGAGCAGGGACAAAAGGCCGTGTGGTCTTTCCTCTGAGCCTCTGAAAAAGTGAGGCCTCTTCGATGGCCGGCCCCCTGGGGCCCCTCATGGGCCCCTGGGAAGGAGAATGCATGATGTGGGGAGTTTCCCCATCAGGTGCGAGATTCAAAACAGGCCAATACATGTGAATACAGGGCCCAGAGCCCGCGGGGAGGTGAGCAGCTAGCCATCCTGGAGCGGGAGGTACTGCAGGTGTGGGACAGAGCTGCTCACACTGTCCGATCCCCTAGGCATGGTATTAACCTGCAGACTCAGAGCAGGAGGTGGGGGTGGGGCCCGAGGTCCAGGATTTCTCACAAGGTCCCAGCCACCAACGCTGTTGCCCCGCGGACACCAACTAGGAAGGATATAGAGCCCTCCACCTGGGACAGCCTTCTGGGGGTGGCAGTGAGATCTGGGCCCTGCTGATACCTTTCCCGGTGAGGAAAGCGGCCGCATGAGCAGTGTTTCTAAAAGGTATAAGAGGTGTTCCGTTAGCACGTTCTTTTATTTATCTACCTATTTATTTAAATATATTTTTATTGATTTCAGAGAGGAAAGGAGAAGGGGAGAAAGAGATGGAAACATCAACGATGAGAATCATTGATTGGTTGCCTCCTGTACACCCCCTATTGGGGATAGAGCCCGCAACCTGGTCATGTGCCCTTGACTGGAATCGAACACGGGACCCTTCAGTTTACAGGCCAACACTCTATCCACTGAGCCAAACCGGCTAGGGCTCTTTTATTTATTTAAAACATTTTTTAATCCTCACCTGAGGATATTTTTCCATTGATTTGTAGAACGTGGAAGAGAGAGGGAAAGACAGAAATATCTATGTGAGAGAAACACATCGATTGGTTGCCCCTGCGTGAGTCCTGACCAGATCAGGGGCTGGGGAAGAGCCTGCAACCGAGGTACCGGAATCAAACCCAGGACCCTTTAGTCCACCGGTCAATGCTCTATCCACTGAGCCAAACCGGCTAGGACTAGCATATGTTCTTAAAAAAAAAAAAGTCTGGTCAAATACATTTAAGAATCATGGATTAAAGCAAGTTTATTTCCCACAGGACTTCTCAGAGCCTTGACTGTGCTAATGTGCATTTCCACACCCCGCGCACCCAGGAGGGGTTAGAGCTCAGTGTTACCAGCTGGGTTTGGACCGTGGAATGCTTTCTTCCCAGGACATCTTGGTGGACTGGGTTACAAGGAACACGCCCAGTGACGGTTGGGGGTGTGGGGCCTCCGCCTGACCCTCCATGACCAGGTCCCTAGTTCTCTGGCCACAGCCCTGTCACTGAGGCACCTGGGCAGGTGTGTTCAGGGGAAAGACGGTGAAGCAGGTGTGAAGGCGGTGGCGGGCACACCCCTGCCTCTGGCTCCGGGACCTGCTGGGCTGTGACACTAGGGAGCAGCTGGAGCCATTGCCTCTGAGAGCCTGGAGGCCCAAGTCCCTCTGTCAGGGGCGCCTGAATGGGGGACTGCCCTTCTCTCTCTGAGTCAGCACTTCCTGTGCAGGAGAAAGAAAATGGGGGCGGTTTCTTAGCTAAGAAACATGAGAGCCCAGGGAGGGCTTGGGGGAGGAGGTAGAAGTCATGGCCACACAGGGATTGGCACAGAGTCAGGAAGTACCCCCAGCAAGGGTGGGGTAGAGCATTAACCTGGGCCCAGGAGGTCTGAGCCTGACCACAGGCCTTGACAGGTCAGAGTATGGTGAGAGGCTGGGAACAGGAGCCCCGTCCAGGATGGCTTCCTAGTGGTGCCCTGGCAAATGGGTAAGAGAAACGGCTCCAGTTTCTATAGCAACTGGTTAGCTGCAATGGTTGGGGAACAGATCCATTAGGGACACCTGGGAAGCTAAGAGGACCCCAGGAGTGGCTGAGCTGTGCCCACAGCTGAACCTCCATCCCGCCCCTGTGCTAGTCAGCACCTTGCACCGGGCACCTTGAGGGTCACCTCAAGGCACAGCCTGCCGATAGGAGGGGTGGAGGCTGGGTGTCACGGGACTTTCCTAGCCCGAGGGGACAAGGAAAGGAAAACAGGAACATTCTGACCCATCAGGGGTCCTGGCCCCTGGACAGCCAGGGTCCTCACTGCCCATGTCTTCCCTGACTTCCCTGCCCCATTTGTATCCTCCCGGTCACCCCATTTCTACTGCAAAGGCCTGCCTCAAGTCCCTGCTTCCTAACCCAGCACTTACTGTGCTGGGGAGTGTGGTGACAGAGCCTGGTCAGTTTGTCTTCCAGGGTCAAGAGGAGGCCGGCAAACAGTGCCTGGAAAGGTGAAGCCCAGGAGGGGGTATGGGGAACGGGGTTAAGGTGGGGCACGCCCAAAGGAAGAGAGGCCGGGCGCACCTTCCTGCATCACCCACTTGATGGTGCTGGTCTGACCCCCTGGCCTCTCCCCGTCCCCATCCCGCTGACCTGTCTACCAAGAGGAAGCACTTAGGCCCCACTGTTCGGTCCTGACCACAGGGAAAACCGTCCTTACGGCCCTTCAGTGCAGACTGTGCTCTGGCGTCTGGGAGTCTTCACAGCTGGGCCTGGGGCAGTGCTGAGCAGGGTGAGCAGGGCCAGGGGTGCCCACACCCGCTGAACCCTCTGAACGTCTCACTGGTCACTTCCTGTCCTCGTGCCAAGGACCCTCCAATTTTAGCTCCTTTCAAATCTTCCACCCCAGGATTCCGCCCGAATGGAACGGCCCTGATGATACATGTCAAGCTTAAAAATGAAATACCAGCCACCTGTGTACTGGTCGCCTGGCTGAAGCAGCAAAGCACCTATGCACTCAGTCGATGCCCCTGTACTCCCCACTGCGCAAGCTCTGCCCTCCCGCCTGAAGGGAATCACTTTCTCAATTGTCTGTTTATCAACACCGGGCATTTTTTGTACCTTTATTATATGCAGCTGTGTTCCCAGCCAATGAGAGTGTGTACTGTGTGTTTTATATGTACAGTGGGGCCTTGACTTATGAGTTTAATTTGTTCCGAGACCGAGCTTGTTAATTCAAATTACTCTATCAACTCAATGCAAAAGAGACAAAATGGCCAAGAGACAGCTGGTATCTCAAAAAACTCGTTAGTCGGGATACTCGTAAGTCAAGGCCCCACTGTATATATATATATATTTTTTCAAATCCTCACCCGAGGATATTTTTCCACTGATTTTCAGGGAGAGTGGAAGAGAGAGGGAGAGAAACATCGATGTGAGTGAAACACATTGATTGGTTGCCTCCTGCACGAGCCCTGACTAGGGCTTGGGCTGAGAGGAGCCTGCAACCAAGGTACGTGCCCTTGATCGGATTTGAACCCAGGACCCTTCAGTCTGCAGGCCGATGCTCTATCCACTGAGCCAAACCGGTTAGGGCGTGTACTGCACGTTTTAAAATTGTATGTAAGTGGCATTGTGCACCTAGATCCTGCTTTCCTCACACAGTATTATTTCCGAGCCATCACCTTGATACGATTAGCTTTAGTCATTTACATTTACTTATATAGTGTTCCATTGTATGACTCGACCACAATTTACTGACTCACTCTCCTGTTGGTGGGCATTTCAGGTTAGTTTATTGTATTTTTGCTGTTATAATAACATAGCCATCGGCATTTTTACTCTCGCCGCTTTTAACATGTGTGAAAGCGTCTATTAATGTGTTATCCCAGGGGTGGAGTTGCGGGGTCATGAAGTATACACATCTGCAACTTGACAACGTCACCAAATTGCTCACCAGAATAGACTTGAGCTGAACATCAAGAAAGTTCACAGCAGCTTTTATTCATAATATCCCAACTGGAAACAAATCAAAGGCCAATCAACAGGAAACCGGAGAAAGAAATGATGGTATGTCCATGCGATGGAATACTAGTTAGCAATAAATAAGGACTTTACTGCTGTGTGGAGAACATGGATGAATCTCACAGATACCACGTTGAATGAGAGAAGGCAAGTGCTTAAATGAAGTTCTAAACCAGGCAGAATGAATCTGAGGAGAGCAGTAAGAATAATAGTTACCGCAGGGAGAGGGTATAAGGTAGGAAGAGGCATGATGGGACCCCATGGGTGGTGGTGACTTGGGTAGGTAGGTGGGTAGGTAAAAAAATTAAGCTGCACACTTAAGACTTGTGCACTTCATTGAATGTGTGTTATCTCTCAATTAAAAAAAAATGTAGAAAATGATCAACAAATGACAAGTGCTGGTGAGGATGTGGAGAAAAAGGACCCCTCATGCACTGCTGGTAGGAATGCAGACTGGTGCAGCCACTGTGGAAAACAGTATGGCGTTTCCTCAAAAACTTAAAAATGAATCTTCCATTTGACCCAGTGATCCCACTTCTAGGAATATATCCCAAGGAATTAGAAACACCAATCAGAAAGGATACATGCACTCCTGTGTTCATAGCAGCACAATTTA